TTATTGGTTCCAAATGCCCCCCCCCTCCTTGGTGGCTTGTTGTTCCCAAAGTGCCCCCCCTTTTTTGTGGGCTGGTTCGCGTTAAACCCCCCTTCCCCCCGGGGGGCCGGGTTCCCCCCCCACCCCGCTTTTTCCATCATTTGGGTATTCCCTCATAACCCCCCCCCCCCCCCCCCCCCGCTGGCCTGGTTGCCCCATGCAGCCTGCTTGTTCAGTTGTTTGGTCGTCCCTCACCTGGTCATAGGCAGCCATCTTGTGAGGGCATGAGGGTTAATTTGCATATCACCTCTTTATTATATAGGATTGCATTATTTGGCTGTTTGTTCAAATAATTCTAGGTCTTATTTTCTTTTATTATTAAAGTCACATCGGTTAAAGTTTTTAAACCCCAACTTTTTAATATTTACTAGAATTTCTAGAAAAAAAAAACACTAGACTTGGCATACAAAGATCCAGATTTGAGATCAGTCTCTGTCACTTTCTAAGTAAGCTCTTTGAAAAAGTCAGAATCTGGGTTTTTGTTTCTTCATCTTTCCTTTTCCTCTGACCTTGGTCCTGGAACTTTCAAGTAATCTTTAGAATGTTCCTCTGGCCGAAACCGGTTTGGCTCAGTGGATAGAGCATCGGCCTGCGGACTGAAGGGTCCCGGGTTCGATTCCGGTCAAGGGCATCCCCGGTGGGGGATGTGCAGGAGTCGGCTGGTCGATGTTTCTCTCTCATCGATGTTTCTGGCTCTCTATCTCTCTCCCTTCCTCTCTGTAAAAAATCAATAAAATACATTAAAAAAAAAAAGAATGTTCCTCTGTATAAATAATTGCACATTGTTTTAAGTTTTACCTACCCTTTTAGTTGTATGTTTTATTTGGAAGTCAAAGTAACACCCATTTTCTCCAAAACTGGGGTAGAGAAAGAATAATAATCACAGAAAGTCATAATTTAACATTATGCATTAGGGGTGTGACACATTCACTGTTGCTGTTTGAATTTGAATTCTTGTTAGTTTCCCTTAGAATTTAGATTTTCTGCTGTGCAAACTGTAGAAAGTTAATCTCTAAGCTCTGTGAACTCCCCTCTTCTTTGAGACTTTCAACATTTATGTTCTCACTTTATCCCCTCTTCTTTGAGACTTTCAACATTTATGTTCTCACTTTGTCGTAAAGGAGTCTATAAACTTAGATAAGGTGGTTAGTAGCAATTGTCTGTCCTTATCAATGCTGTAAGCAGCAGAGCAACCTCAGGTCTGTCTTTTCAGAGTGTGTGTTAGAATTGGCCTTTGAATCTGGAGAAAGCAGATATGATGGTGTATTCTGATTAGGAAAACTTGTTAATTCTCATGTTAACAGCTGCTTAATATAATAGTGAATCATGCTTGCACTTTCATATTACTTCATGAAAAGAAAATTTTAAAAATATATAAATTGTTAGCTATGCACTTCGGATTGAAAATAGTCTTTATTATGTTAACACTTTATTCTTGAAGAGGAAAAGAGGTTTTTATTTAAAACAAAATTCTTTTCAACTTTAGATGGGTCACTTAGTTGCTATGGATTTTAATATTGTGCACATTTATTTTTTCTTATTTAAAAAAAGTTAGTGTTGCATTTTCTGACAAGTTTATGATCATTGAAAAACTAATGAGGAAATTACAGTGCAATTCAATGAAATAACATGCTTTATGAGAACAATCTTTTATTGTTTTTTGTTTGGGGAAATATTACCACTTTTCTAAGAACTCCAGAGATGAGGATTCATATCCTTATAAATTCTGTTTAGATAAAGGAAAAGCGAAATAGTCAATATTGCATTTTTCCTTCTTTTTATTCTAATAGCTAACATTGATTGTGTACCAGTCATATATCCCTAATTGTGCTAAATACTTATGTATGTTATTTTATATAATTCTTATACCAGTTTTATGAAATATGTGCTTCTGTTTCCATGTTTAGATGAGAAAATGAGAGTTAGAGAATATAAATAAGATGCTCAAAATTGCATAGTAAGTGGTAGAAATGGGATTTGATTCTAGTTCTGTTGGACACATACTTAATGATTACGAATATGTATGCCAATCTCATAAATATTTATTCAGTAATCATTTGATTTAATAAAAACTGTTATGAATGTGCAGTCTGATTTACACCTAATAGTTGGAAGTATATCACTCATTTTCCCCCTCTTCTTGTAGGAGAAAAGATTGAAAGAAAGGGAAGCCAGAAGAGAGGCCAATAAGAGGCAAGCAAAGGTAAGGGTTTATATTTTAATGAGAAAGTGTTTTCCATCTGCCTTTTATGTTTATTTATACATCATGACAGTCAAATTGGATTGAAGTCTGTGTAGCTTGTGTCACTTTCTCATATTAATTTGTTTCCTCTGATGTGGGACGAAAATGCCCAAGATAATTTGTTGATTGGCCTTTGCCCTGCTACTTCACAGCCTTTTTTTTTTTTTTTTTTCATTATATATTGCGCCTGTTTAATATAGCAGATGGTTGACTCTGTGGTCCAGGCCTGATAGGATTTTAAACTATATCATCTTTAGACTTGCTAAACAGCTTACATGAACCCAATATGATAATAACTGAAAGCATTGGTTGCTTCAATTCAACTCCTAGATAGAATCTAGGGGAAAGCTCTCTCTGTATCTCCCACCTTCACTGTATATTCTGTAAACAATTTCCAGCAAGTATATATGTACAATAGTAAACGCCAGTCATGTGCAGCAGTAATTTTTATCTTGTGTGTTAGACACCGAGAAAGGCTCAGCTTCTGCATTCCGAGGACATTTAGGAGAAATGATTTCCTAGAAGCAGGCCCAGTAACGTATGTCATTTCTCATGCTCCCTTTGTGCTGTGCCTGACTGGCCATGATTTCTCCTTGGCAGTCAGCAAAGATCTGACTCCCTTGAGTAAGACCATAATGTCCTTTGTCATTTTTTTCATGCTGGCCATAGCATTTAGAGAGCAAGTCAGAGATGATGGCTCATGTTATAGTTCTGAAGTGGGAAACAATTACCGCACAGTGGGAGATGAAAAGCCTGCTTATATTCCGTGTTAAATATCACTCTGTCTTCAAAGGTGCCCGAGAACGAAGCTACAGCGTGTGCAGCCTGACTGCTAAATCAGGTGGTGGATTCTGCACAAGCTTAAAATGCAGACATGAACTGTCATGGCATGGAAATTAGATCTTAGGGCTATAGTGGGAAAACTTAAATTTAAGAAGAAAATCTTAAATCTAATGAAAGCATTTGATATTTATGAATATTGCATGTTCAGATAAGAACATACCTATTCATTTCACTAAGAAGCTCTCATTTCTGCATATAAAATTGTAAAATGAAAGTTATACTCTAGACCAGAAGAAAGCCCTGTTACTCTATTTCCTTTGTGTGAATTCATGCATATTTGTGTATGTTACTAAATATGCTTTATTGTTATAATTGTTGATACTGTATACTTGATTTCTCATAGTGTTTAAGCTGTAAGAAATTGCTCTTTCCCTTGAGCTGGCCTCTTCTGCTTCTTCGTTTGTTTCCTCATAAATTCGAACGTATTTGGTTTTGATACTGTGCCAGCTGGGAAATATACAGACAGAAAGTGAAAAGGCCAGCAGAGTTTGCTTTTTCCTTTGCGGCAGATACCTAACATGAACTCCCCCAGCCAAGGCCATCCCTTTACACTTCACCCCCTCCCATATTTGTCATGTTTGTTTGTTTTCTGAAGTTTAAGAAAGGAGGAGGAATTTATTGTCAAAAGGACAACTCATTTCCTTCTGTATAACCACCAAGGACCATACTGGGAACAATAAGAGGCTCTGTAGCTGACGTGGCTTTGCTGCTCAGTCGGGAGCTTTCAGTGACCAAGGCTGTGTTTTAGCATCACTCTCAATGGCCGAGCTGCCTCCAGTTCACAGCCTTGTCTGAGTGCTCAGAGATGGCAGCCCTCAGAAAGAGGGATGTTAACAAAGGGATGAGTGCCTGGGTAGTAGCCAAGACTCAGGTGTTCCCTGAGACACTAAGGACTGCAGCCTACTGACAGATTCAGGTCTACTGACGGATCCCAGAATTAGCCTTTTTACACTGAGCTTCTTTGCAAATGAAAGTGAGAGGGGATGAAGGTCTTCATGGCTTTTCAGGTGCCCCTTTGGAAACAGACCCAGAAGATGTTATTTGGAGGGACTCTGTAAAGCAGTGATGGCCCACAGTTCTGTCATCTCTAAGAAGAAGTATATGATGTGAATGATCAGGTTTCCTGTTTATGTGTGTGTGTGTGCTTTAACTAATGGATATGGTAGTTTTAGAGTAAACTTTATCCCCCCTTTAATATGTTTAAACATAATCATTTTGTGTTTGATGCTGTGCCTTCTGAGGCCTTTGGTCAGCTTCATTCTAGAGCACTGAACCTACAACTATTCCAAATGGTGCTTTATTATTACCTTTTTATAGATATTTTAAGAAATTAGTATATAGAAACTGAAAGTGTGAGAAAGGGACACACATAGCTTTCTTTCTGCCTGTTTTGTGCTTCTGTCAGCAAGTGTGTTTATTAAGAAGAACATATGATACAGAATATTGTTTTAATTGGAAAAAGTGTTTGAATAAAAGTTAATGTAATTATCTATATTTCCAAGAAATTTTATAAATGATGGTTGGTAGTTATCTCTTTCCTTGCATAGAAAATATTCCTAAGAAAATTGCTTTAAAGTCTGAGTACACTAAAATAAAGTTGGAACACACCTCACAGGAATCAGATGCAACTTTTTGTTAAAAGACAGATCTAAGATCTGCCTAGAATATGTTGTATGCATTGTTAGGAATAGGAGAGAAACATGAAGTTGAAAAATCTTAAGGTTTTCTGGATACCCAACATGTAGTGATTTGGGAGATAGAGGTCTTTTGGGTATCAAAACAAGCAGAGAAATATTTGAACTGCTCAATGGACTTTTACTTAACTGACAGGATGTTGTGTGTTCTTGTAACTTAGACATTTTAAAGTGAAATCTGAAAAAAAGTAGTTTTAGCAGAGATCAATGGACCACATTGCTTTTTGGATTTCGGGATGTTACATAATCCTGGACTTACAGCTTCACTTCATTATTCAGCCAGATTTCCTCATGTTACTTTGATGCTCACAAAGGCCTATACCAGCCTCTGGTGCCTGGAAGGACTTTGCAGAAATGTAAAGAAAGGAGCAACAGTGCTGAAACTTGAGGAAATACATCCGAGAAATATCTTAGTGCTATGCTGTTTTTGAAAAGAAAGTAGAATATAAGGTTGATAAAACTGAACGTTAAGTATAAAGGAGCAGAGTAGGAAACAGCTTAGAGGCACTTTAACACTAGAAAATTAAGCATTACTTTTAATATATTCCAGATGATGCTTATGATTCTTATTTTTTAGGTGTGGGAAAATGATATTCAGATAACTAAGATTATGTCATACATTAACCCTTTGTGGTCCAATTTTATTTTTGGAATTCAAACAGTCTGGTCCAAATTAATTGATGGGATTGAATGTTGAACCGGTTTGCGGTGTTGAGCTCAGCCTCGATGTTGGACCTGCTCCTAGCGCCTGGTCTGTCGAGTCAGCCTCCACGTTGGACCGAAAAGGGTTAAAATGTTGAAGTTTTATAGTTGTACATTTTAACTTGATTTCTTCCTGTCTGGTTTTTACTGGATTTTTATTTTAGTGACTCTGATATATTTAATGGTGCTCTAAATGAGCCATTTGGTTTCTCTAAGCAAACTGCTCACATACTTTGTTTTAGTACTAAAATAAGACCCATTATGCTCTCTTTCCTTTCCTTTTAGATGATGTGCTTTTTAGCAATGAAAACACAAGTAGGTTTAGTGTTGTTGTTGTTGTTATTGTTTTTAAAAACAGTAACAAAAATGTATTCTCTCACAGTTGTGGTGGCTAGAAGTCCACAATCCAGGTGTCATCGCCGACGCCATGCTGCCCCTGAAGGCTCCAGGGAGGAATCCTTCCTGGCTTTCTTGGCTTTTGGTGACTGCGGTCATCCTTGGTGTTCCTTGGCCTGTAAATGCAGCCCTCAAATCTCTGCCTCTAGCTTCACATGGCCTTCTTCTCCCTGTGTGTCTCTGTGTCCCTGTGTCTTCATCTAGCCTCTTTCAAAGTCAGGGTGTCCAATTAGCTCCACACCTGCTCCTACTTTTGTTTTGGCAAATTGCTCTCAGGTAAAGTAACCACCGTCAGTGTGAGAAGTCATCTCATGAGAGGGAGGAGTGCTGCCCATCTCTCCTTCTAGTCCAAGGGGCTGGGGTCTCTGGAAGCTGTAGAAGTTCTAGGGCCTGGGAGTTTCTTCTGCCAATGGAACCTTATGTCACAACATGCTCCAGGCATTGGGATCCCTCAGCAGTGAAATTGCCACAGTTCCCTCCTCTTTTTTTTTTTTTACTTTGCCTATTGCGGTCACAGTACATTGAGAACTAGCATTCCTACTTCTTCATGGCAGTGCCTTTTCTTTTCTGCCTAGGGATTCTCAGGATGAGGGCGGAGGTAGGTGACAATATCAGAATCAATTGAAAAGAATATTTTTATGCACGCACCAGAATTCCTTTAGATTCTTTTTTTTTTTAAATCAACAGTACTTTATTTTTTGATGATTCTATGTTTGTTTGTTTTGCTTGAAGATTATTGTAGTGGTTTCTTTCTTTGTCTCCTCCTCCCTCCCCCCCTTTATGATAAAGAAGGGGATTATGAAATTTGAATTTTTAACCATCTTGGATTATTTAAGAGGTACTTTCAGTGTTGCCTTTTCAGAGAATTGGCCTTCTCTAGTCATGAAGATTTAAAGGGATAACGCTGCTCATGATATCATCTTCATGTGCATACATGCTGTGCCTTTAAGACTCAGCTTATTGAATTCTCCCTTTGTTTTTCTGACCCTCTCAGACACAGTGGACTCCTGCTTTTATAACTGCTATTCCAGTCTCCTGTTAAAGCTTCTGATAGTTTACAGCACTTATTTGAATAGTATCTGTCTTTCCCACTCAGCTCTATGTCATGTTCTCCTTTGTGTCCTTGTCCCAATGCTTGCTTCATAATAAGCACTTAATAAATAAATATTTGAATGAATGAATGAATGAATGAATGAGTGGGTGAATGAATTGCTTAAAGAGATACAGAACCTGATGGAAATAAGAGCATAAATCATTTCAGTTGTCCAACTTTCTTTACAGAAATTATCCTCCCATTGTTGGATATATAAATGTAAAGCAGTTGGA